AGCAGCAGCAGCAGCAGCAAGGGGGTTCGCGGGTTTTTGCACTTTGAGGCTTTGAACTTTTTGTCTTCTTTTTCTCTTGCGGGTTTCAAAGACAGCGATTTGCTGCTGTCGTTTGAGCAGCAGCTGCTGCAGCAGCTGCATGCGTTTGACTGCCGGCAGCTGCTGCTGCTGCTGCAGCTCTGCGAGCAGCAGCAGCACCGCAGCAGGGCCCTTTATAAGGCCCTTTTTAAGGCCCTGGGGGCCCTCAGTCCCTGTCTCCTTTTCCAAGAAGCAGCAGACGCTCTTTGCTGCTTTGCTGCTGCTCGAGTCAGCAGCAGCAGCTGCTGCTTGCTGCTGCTGCAGCAGGCAGCAGCACAAGCCCCAAATGCAGCACTAGCAGATTGCTGCCGCCTCCTTGGGGCTTTGCATGCGCTGGGGCTGGGGGCCCCCGGGGGGCCCCTGGGGGGGCCCCCTGAGGGGCCTCCGGGGGGCCCCCTGGGGGGGCCCCCTGAGGGGCCCCCAGGGGGGCCCCCCGGGGGGCCCCTGGGTACAGAAACAGAGACACCTTATGCAGCAGCAGCAACAGCTGCTGAGCTAATTAATAAAAGGGTCCAGTTTCTTCTTGAGGCCCTCCCGCTGCAGCTGCTGCTCGATCAAGTCATGCTTGTAAGGCCCTGCTGCTGCTGCTGCTGCTGCTGCTGCTGCTGCTGGGGCTGCTGCTGCTGCTGGTGGGGGTGCTGCTGCTTGAGCTGCTGCTGCTGTAGCTTATTCTATTCTTGTTGCTGTTGCTGCAGCTGGCGCTCAGGTTTTTGCTGCTGCTGCTCTGCTGCTGCTGCTGCTGCACTAAAAAGGCGTGGAAATGATTAAATTAATTTGAATTTAAACGAAATAAATAAATAGGATTTCAGGTGTACGTACACTGCGGCTGGGGTGTATGTACAGCTCCCCACACTGGAGTTCTCGTGGCAGCCATTTGAAGACAAAGCTTTTGCTGCTCTTAAAGAGGTAATAAATAAATAAATAAATAAATAAATAAATAAATAAATAATATATAAAATAATAAAAGAACATATAAATAAAGAAATGATTTATTTATTGTTACTTCTTATTGCATTTTATGTGTTCATATATTAATTAATTAATTAATCAGCTAATTAATTGGCCAATTAACTGATGAATTAATTAGCTAATTTGTTAATGTGATTAATCGATTAATTAATTGACTAATTCACTAATTAATTAATTAATTAATTAATTAATTAATTAATTAGTATAATTAATTAATTAATTAGTATAATGAATCAATTAATTAATCAACCAATTTGGTTAGTTAATATAATAATTAATCAATTGGTCAATTGATTTATTAATTAATTATTCTATTTATTTATTATTTATTTAGTTGTTTATGTATGTATGTATGTATTTATTTATTTACTTATTTATTTATTTGTTTGTTTGTTTATTTATTTATATAATTGTTTCTTATTTAATTGTTTATTTATTTATTTTATTTATTTGTCAACAGAGGCTGTCTGCTGTAGAGACAGCCGAAGACATCGACGAGCTGGCGGACCCTTTTTCGACTCTTCACTTTTTGAAGACCCAACAGATGTTGGAAAAAGTAAATTCAAATAAATAAGTAAATAAATAAAATAAATAAATAAATAAATAAATAAATAAATAGATTGTATTTAGTGAGGGGAAAGATGAGTGGATTTGCTGGCAGTTTAAACGGCGAAAAAATCTGTTGAATAGCGCACCAACTAAACCCTAAACCCTAAACCCTAAACCCTAAGCCCTCAGGACTGCAGGCAAGGCGGCATGGGCTGCTGCTTCCATTTAAAAGAAACTAAAAGTAATTAACTGAAAGATTATATATTTATATATTTATTTATTATTTATTTATTTATTTATTTATTTATTATTTATTATTTATTTTTTATTTATTTATTTGTCTTTATTTTTGCATGCAGCCCTTTCTCAAAGCGCTTTCAAAATGGGTTTTAAAGGCAGTTTATAAACCCCCAACTCGGTGAGAAGAATGTCTTTTTATTTTTCGTTATTTTCATTTTAATTATTTTAATTATTTCAATTATTTTAATTACTTATTATTTCCATTATTTTTGTTTTTTGTTTTACTTTTTAATTTTTAAATTCAAAGTTGCAAACAGACAAAAAGTCCCAACTGTTACTTTTACAAAGCCATTCATCATCATTGACAACTCGCATTAATTATTTTATTTTCATTTATTTATATTCATTTGACTTTACTTATTTATTTAATTATTAATTTATTTATTTTAATTTATTTATTTTTATTTACTATTATTTTATTTTGTTTTAAATGCATGCACTCAGTTCTCAAAAAAGGCCAACAGCGGAAGAACTGGTTTTGCTGCACGACACATGCAGGTAAAGCCCCAAAACAAATTGCATGCGTTTTGGGGCTGCATGCAAATAAAGCCCCAAAGAAATTGCATGCATTTTCGCCGCATGCAACTAAAGCCCACACTGAATTTTGCATGCATTTTTACTGCATGCAAATAAGTTTCAGAGTAACTTGCATGCATCTTTTTCTGCATGCAAATAGAGTCCCATAATAACTTTTCATGCATCTTTGCTGCATGCAGATAAAGTCCCAAAATGGTTTGCATGCGTTTATTTCTGCTGCATGCAAATAGGGTCTCGAAAAGGACTTTGCATGCGCTTTTTATCTGCATGCAAATAAAGCCCCAAAAGTAACTCCGCATGCATTTGATATTGTTTTATTCGCTTTATTTTGCTTGCTCTACTATTTTATTTATTTTGTTTTCAGAGAATACAAAATGGAAAATGACGAGAGGCTGCAAAGGGCAATTTTGAAATTCGTATCAACAGAAGGTAATTTCACTTCTATTTATTATTTCTTATTAATTTATTTATGTATATACTTAAATAATAAATAATAATAACTAATAAATAATATATATTTATTATTTGTTTGTTGATAGAATTTGCTGCTGCTTTCAGGAGGCACTGCAAGAAGACCTCGTTTTGTGTCTCCTCTTGAATTTCAGAAAAATCGAAAATACTTTTATCTCCCAGACCTCCGACATGGCGATAAACCCGCGGCCTAGGGTTTAGGGTTTAGGGTTTGGGAGTTGGGGTCTGAGGTGTGGGCTGAGGGGTTCGGGGCTCGGGCCTGTGGTTCGGGGTTTAGGATCTAGGGTTTAGGGTTTGGGGTTTAGGGTTTAGGGTTCAGGGGGGCTGCTGGGGTGGCGGCTTTTGGTGTGAGGGTGTAGGGTTTAGGGAGTTTCAGAGGTGTACGTACACCTGACACCCACTGCTGGCCCTTTTTCTTTTCAAGTTTCTTACGAGAAACTCTTTGTACAAAAGCTAGGGTTTAGGGTTTAGGGTTTGGGGTCTAGGGTTTGCGTGAAAAAGGGCTTCCACGCTGTAGCCAGCGACTGAGGCTTCCTGCGGGCCTAGGGTTTAGGGTTTAGGGTTTGGATTTTAGCGGCGTTTTGGGGCTGCATGCGCATGCAAGCCACGCAGTGCAATCCAATTAGGGTGAAGTTTTATTAGGGCTTTGCAACTTCAAAGAAATAAAAGAAGAAAAGAAAAAGAAACAAAATGCATGCACTTGCATGCGTTCTCACTCTGGGGATGAAAGCTCATGAGCTCAAAAAGCCCCACTGCATGCGTGCAAGTAATGGGGCTTTCAAATGGCGGGGCCTTTGCATGCATGCACGCACGCATGCATGCATGCATGCGCGCATGCATGCATGCATGCATGCATGCATGCTGGCCAGTGGCGCAGGCAAACAGTGGGGCGTTCGCATGCCTTGCATGCATGCATGCTTCACTTGCATGCGCACATGCATGCATGCAAGCACTGCATGTAAATATCGGGGCCTTTGCATGCATGCATGCATGCAGCAGAACGAAGCCTTCTGCGGCTATAAAGAGACTTTGTTGTGTCTCTGGCTCTGTTGCATGCAGCTGCTGCTGCAGCTGGTGCTGCTGCTGCTGCAGCAAACAAAGCCCTGCTGGGGTGTATGTACAGCTGGTGTTGAGAAAACGCGTCAAAAAAGAAGAGCAAGAGAGTCTGATGAACAAATAAATAAACAAATAAATAGAAATAAATAAATGAAATGTTTATAAAGAAAAAGAACAAAAAAGCACAAGTGCATGCACGCCTCGCCCCTACGCTGCGGCGTTTGGGGCCTCAGCAGCAGCAGCAGCAGCAGTAGCAGCAGCAGCGCCATCTGCTGCTGCTGCTGCTGCTGCTGCTGGTGGGCTCAGCTCGTCTTGTCTCTTGGGAGAGTCTGCTGCTGCTTCTGTCTCTTCTTTTGTTTTTTCTGAGTCTCCTTGAGAGGCAGGGGAGACCGGCCGGGGTTTTTGCTCAAACCCTAAATTAGGGTTTGGGCGAGGGTTTAAATCGGGCGTCGGGCTTGGCAGCACAATGAAGTCCCGCAGAGGGTTTAGAGCAGCAGCAGCAGCAGCAGGCAAGTTTGCTGCGGCTTCTTCTGCTGCTGTCTCCCCAGACACCGGAAAAGGGTAAAGAGGGTTTATTGTTAAATAAATGTAAGTTGCGTAGCTGCAGCAGCAGCAGCGACACAGCAGCAGCAGCAGCAGCAGCAGCAGCAGGAACAGCAACAGCAGCAGCAGCACAAAGTAAAAACTCCTTTATAAACTAATAGTTGCTAAATGCCACAATAATGTATTTATGTTTATTTACAAATTTAAATGAATTAAACAATTAAAGAAAATAAAAGAGAGACAAAAAAGAAAATAAGGGACAAGTGGATATTGATTAAAAACGGAAAAAAAGGCGCGAAAAAAGAAAATAAAAAGAAAAAGAATAAAAGAAAATAAATAGGAAATAAAAAGAATAAAAAGAAAACAAAAAGGAGACAAACAGAGATTGAAAAGCGAACAAAAAATAGGACAAAAAAGGCAAAAAGGACACAAAAAGGAGATAAAAAGAAACAAAAATGAAACAAAAAACCCAAAAAAGATCCAGAAAAAACACCGAGAAGCAGAGAAAAAGACCGAAATAAAAAGGGAATAAAAAGGAGACAAACGGAGACAAAAAGGAGACAAAAAAGGACAAAAAAGAAATTAAAAAAGACAAAAAAGACAAAAGAAAAAAAGATCAAAAGGGGACAAAGCTTACCGCTGTCCTGCAGTGGGTTTGTTGTTGTCGATGCGCCAGCGCTGAGTGCTGGCGACGCAAGAAATCTGGGGACTAAAAGAAAACAAAAAAAGAAAATAAAGAAAATAAAATGAAAAAAAGAGAAAAAGAAGAAGTTTTAGAAGATTAAAAAGAAAAGAAATGAATTGAGAAGAGGCTCGAGGACTTGGAGGAGAAAACACGAAAAGAAGAAATTAAATATTTGTCGAAAAATCAAAAAAAGAAAATTTCAAATTTTAAAGAACTCTTTGATCAAATTAAGCGTCAAATTAAACAAATAAATGAATTAAATTAAATTAATTAAATTAAATCAAATTAAATTAAATTAAATTAAATCAAATTAAATTAAATTTAATTAAATTAATTATACTAAATCAAATTGAATTAAATCAAATTGAATAAAATAAGACAAACAAATTAAACCAAATTAATCAAATCAAATCAAATCGAATCAAATCAAATTAATTTAAATAAAATCAAATAAAGCAAAATAAGTCAAACTAAATCAACTAAACTAAACTAATTGAATTAAGTTAATTGAATTGAATGACTTAAATCAATTAAATCAATCAAATTAAATAATTAAATAAATAAAATAGATTAAATAAATTAAATAAGTTAAATAAATTAAATCACCCAAAGACATGCGGGGCGTGGGAGTCGTGGAATAAATGGTTGGCGAGGCAGTGCACTGGAAAGTTCGGACGGGGGGGAGGCTCCACTGCGGAGACTGCGCTGCAGCAAAACCCTAAACCCTAAACCCTAAACCCTAAACCCTAAACCCTAAACCCTAGACCCTAAACGCTAGGGGGAGCTTGCAGGGAGGAAGAAGCGGGCAGGCAGCAGCAGCAACTCAGAAGTGCGGCGGCCGCAGCGAGAAACGCGCACGTGGCCTGTAAACCCTAAACCCTAAACCCTAAACCCTAAACCCTAAACCCTTAACCCTAGCACTGACCATTTTGTCAACAGTGTAGGAATTGGCGGAGCGTCTGAGGCATATTCAGAAGGCTCCGGCACGCACTGGTGGTACGGAGCGTCGCGCGCCTGCAAACCCACAAACCCTAAACCCTAAACCCTAAACCCTAAACCCTAAACCCTCCTTATGGCTTGCTCGGTTTCACTTGCACCCAGAGCGGCCCGCCAACCCCCGCAGAGCCGACCAAACCCCAAACCCCAAACCCCAAACCCCAAACCCCAACGCCTAAACCCTAAACCCTAAACCCTAAACCCTAAACCCTAGTCACCTGCTCGGCCTCGGAAACAGTCTTGAACTGCAAATGTCTAAACCCTGAAATGTCTAAAACGTTATTTACATTTCCGTGTTCGTCAGTTTGTGTTTGTTGGTCTGGGGCGTACCGCCACTGGTCGTCAACTAAAAATAAAAAATAAAAAATAAATAAATAAATAAATAAATAAATAAATAATAAATTAATAAATAAATAATAAATAAATAAATGTAATTGAGTTGACAATTCCGTTGAAGCAAGGGTTTTGAGGAGCAGCGGCGTTGAAACGGGGTGAATAGCTCTTCAAACAAGCAAACCCTAAACCCTAAACCCTAAACCCTAAACCCTAAACCCTAAACCCTGATTCCCGCAAAACCACAGCTTCAGGCCGCAAAAGCATTCCAAACTCTCCCGTGGCAACCCCGCAGCCCTTAACCCCACACCCCAAACCGCAAACCGCAAACCCCAAACCCTAAACCCTAAACCCTAAACCCTACCGATGAACTTGTAGTAGTGCACGCCTCTCTTGAGGTTTTGAATGTAAGAAAACTCGTGGCCACTTCTGTTCAATCTGAATTTGTTTTCAACACTCCAGTTGTTGAAAGAGCCCGTCAAGTATACCACGTGGCCCCCGTGCGTCCACCTGCGCAAACCCTAAACCCTAAACCCTAAACCCTAAACCCTAAACCCTAAACCCCAAACCCTAAACCCTAAACCCTGAACGCTGAACGCTGGACCCTAAACCCTGCACCCTTAACCGTGAACCCTGAATCCGCGAAAAAGAGCCAAACCCCTCGCCCGTCGCCGCAAACACGAAACCCTAAACCCTAAACCCTAGCTGGCTAGCTAGCTAGCTAGCTAGCTAGCTAGCTAGATTGCTAGCTAGCCAGCTAGCTAGCTGCCCAGCTGCATCGTCTGGAGCCCAGCCCAGCTAGCTAGCTAGCCAGATAGCTGACAACGCAGCCAGCTAGCCAGCAAGCTGCCTACGCAATTAGCTAGCTAGCTAGCTAGGTAGCCAGTCAGTTAGCTAGCTGGCCCCACAACCACCCACCCACCCACCTACCCAGTTAGCTAGCTAGCTAGCTAGCTAGCCAGCCCCCCAGCAACCCGCCCGCCCTCCCTCCCAGCCACCCAGCCAGCTAGCTAGCCAGCTAGCTAGCCAGCCAGCTAGCCAGCCAGCCAGCCAGCCAGCCAGCCAGCCAGCCAGCTAGCTAGCCAGCTAGCTAGCTAGCCACCCACCCACCCAGCTAGCTAGCCAGCTAGCTAGCCACCCAGCCACCCTCCCACCCACCCAGCTAGCTAGCCAGCTAGGACACCAGGGAGCTAGCCAGCTAG